CAAGTTAACGACTTGTTTACTGGGCGTTTTTCTGCCGTTTCCATAACGTTAACGCGCCGTTTTTTGTGTTGACCGTTTACTGGAGATTAACTGGCCGTTAACGGGCCGTTTTTTTGGACCTGGGTATGTATAAGCATGTGATGATTAGATTGAACACAAATAACTTGAACAAGGAAAACTAATTGAAAATCATAAATCGATCATACAGAAACATAAAAATATATACAAATAAGAAAAATGGGTAGAAGAATCGCAGTTCTAAAGAGGTGTCGCGCAGGTACAATACTAAGAAGATTAGCTACGTTGTACTAACGGTTTTAGGTGTTGGACGATCTTCGACTTCCATATCGTTACACCCCTGTCTCCCCTTTCGCATTGCGAGAGTCGGAGCTCTCCAGGTGCTTTCTATCAAAAGTTATTCAAGAAATATTCGTGTTCTTTATATTTTCAAATGGATAGTAGTTTTAAAATAATTCATTTCATTATATTTTCAACGAGAATAGATAGTTTCAGTTTTGTTGGTCATTCGGTATTAAATTATGCTGATGGTGATGTCAGATTCACGTCACAAGCTGATAGTTTTAATGTGTTTTTTTTTTATTTGAATAAATTAATCAAACAAACAAATACTAATAAGTGTGGGATCTGTTACTTCCTTTACTATTATTCATTCGCTATATAATCCTATGCATAATTTACTCAGAAATCGTTTTATACAATGTCTTTTTTTTAGAATTCATTCAGGACCAACTAGAAATTAACTATTCATTTTTTCAACTCTTTCCGTTTTATATAATTCATAATCATTATGAATCTTTCATAAAAAATTTTCCAACGCTATCATAATACTCTATTTGCAGTATGCCAGGAAGCTTTTAGTTCACGACTGTACTTTATGTCAATATCATCCAAGCAGTGCAAAAGATCGAACGGCAAACTCTATACGTCAAAAAATTCTCTTTAATATTTTTATTATTAACGCTGCAAACTTCACTGCCTTTTCGTACTTCTAGATTGATAGTTCATCTGTTGAAATCGTTTCTCTGGACATATAATTTCAAATGATATTATCTATCGTGTCACAAAACCTCAAACACACCGGTGCTGAACATACAACTACGAAACACGACACACACGCCTACTATTAGGTGGCGCACCAAAGCAACCACACAATACCACAACGATACACACTGACAACGAAACCCGATACACAGCAACACACATACCTACCCGTCCGTCAAACACACACAATCACCAACTTCAACAAAACCCAAACCCTTATTGGACCAAATTACGAAAAAAACAGAAGTTCCCATGGGTAAAACATAAAAAATGAATAAAAAACCACTCAACAAACGCCATAATAACGCATATAAAACAGTCCGTCATTCCAAATTGCAATAAAAGAATGTTTCAAAGTCTCTTCTTTTGAATGATGACAACTCGAATTCTCTAGCTCTTTTTGTTCCCGAGTTACTTAACAAATAGCCACAGATCTTATAATTTGAAAAGTATAGCAGAAAAGTAAAGAAGCAGAAAAAAACGAGAAAATGCTCGTCGGATTTTTCAACGTTTTCTGGTAGAAATATTCATCCAGGAACACGTTAGAAAATCTTTTGAATATTCTTTTGAAACTTTACTGAAAAGTAAAGTAATATTTGCACGAAAAAGCGTGAGCAGAACAGAACAGGCCATTTATTCCAAAAACGTGAAGTTCGCAGTATATATAACAATTGAGCAATACATAGTTTTTTCGCCGTTTAAAGATGCAACGAATCCGTGTATGTAAAGACATCGATTCCATCTAGCGTCTCTTTTCTAGTTCCGTATGCAAGAAGATAGTTTCGAAAAACGTTTAGTATAACTCTGATCTTTAACTCTTCTAAACTGATGTTGAACATTTTCGCAGCTGTGTTTTCTTCGGTCTGATTTCTGATTGACTTCGTGTTAAAATAAATTCTTTGCCACATCCTCGTCGTGGCTTTTGTAGGCTAATGACAGGTGACTCCAAGGCAGTAGCTTGGTGATTAAATTTGCTGGAATTCTCTGAGCGTTATGGGGATTAATCATTTTGTTGAATTGCTTCACAATTTAGTAAAAGTTGGTAACAAGTAGTGATGCGATGGAGTGTATTCGAATGTTCATTCACACAGTTCAGTCAAAAAAGAAATTCTCTTTCGCGTTCTGCCTATGAAAGTTCAATCCGTCTGAAAAAACTGAATTGAATGATCAAAAATTTGAACTATATGTGATTGAATAGTAATCAAATGTTCTTCCTCAAATATTCACCTCTCATGAGCATTCATTAGCTTTTATTATTAGAAAGAAAATGAATATCCAAAAGGAATAGAAGAAAATGAATGAACATTCAAATGTTCGGTAACTGTCATTTCTCGAAAGAATACCGAATACTATCGCATCACTAGTAGCAAGTGAAGAAGGGAAAACACTGGAGAGGACGTTATTATTTCTCGTTCTTTCTTTCTCTTGTTAATTACTATCTATATTCGCATTTGTTCAAAACGGTTTATTTACAAACTATATGCAAGAAACATGTTTTTCAACTTTCATAGGTACAGACTATTTACAAAAGCCTTAAAAACCGAAACCTTCCACAGTCAGTGTTTATGATACTGTGCAAAAAAATGGTGAAAACAATATTTTCTCGCAAAAACTACATTGAATAAATGGTGTAACCGTATATTGACTATAGGAATAGCGCTAATTGTCGAAGGAAAAAAACACTTGTTTCGAATTGAGAAACGGACCAGGATCATTTTTCAAATAACCACTTTGATACCTTGAACTTGAACTTGAAATTTTATTTTATGCCCAAGAAAACATCTCGTAACAAAGGAAAGCACCAAAATACCAAAGGCTTGTAAATGCAGTGCCACCACGCAGAAAAGATAAGAACCGCGAGAAGAGAGTATAGAAAAAAAAAATCAATAACAAAAAAACAACAAACAAACAACACACTTATATGGATAGGTGAGCGCGTAATGCTCGTTTGAAAGCAGTACTGGTTTGACAAGATACAACAGGATTTGGCAGGGAATTCCAGTCAACAGCGGTACGGTAGGAAAAGAAGAAGCAACATGTTCCTTCGATACTGTCGGTGTCTCAACCTGCATACTATTCTAACGGTAACTATTCAAACGGTCTGATCTTTTGGCAGCTAATGGTTTTATAAAAGGAAGATCGAAAATAGAGAGACGTGAGAGAGAATTTTTTAACTTTGAAAAAGTGTAATAACCGAAAATATTTTCGCCGTGTAGATAAATTTGGCAGCTTTAGTTTGGTGATCAAAAAGGTTACCGAACCATCAAATTTTTTAGAGATCATACAAGCAGCTAATTTAGTAATTTGATCTAAATCTTCTTTATACCATTTACTATCGTAAACTACACTAGCGCAGTCTAGTCTACTCAAAATACATGCTTTAAAAATGGCTAAACGGATCTTTACCGGGGACTCCCAGAATGTTCTAAACATTGCGCCTAAGCGTCTTCTACATCCGAAGCTTAGGTCTCTAACATGCTCACCCCACGACAGATTAGACGTTAATTTTACTTTGTTTTTATTTGCAATCACTGATGGTCTTTATGACCCTGATAGTACAAAAAATTAAGGAAATGAATTAGTAAAAAAATAATACTGAGTAGTTCTCACATTTTAAATGGTGTTAAGACAAAAAGAAAGAAAGGGTTTTACAATTAGTCACTCAGTATTGAATACAAAAAACTAGTTGGTTTAGACTACTTTACAGAGTTTGATGTTACATTCTTCTTTCGATAAAAAGAAAAATTATCCGTTCACGTCCTAATTTTCTTTCCTTACAAAGCGCACCACCCACACAGAAAAAGTTCACTCATTCATTTTTATCACATTCCATTCTCAGAAGGCCTCAGGAAAAGTAGCAAACGAAGATATCTCTTCCTCCTCATACCAAGGAACAGAATCCATAACGGAGTTGTCGTTACACCAATTTAGACATGTTTCAAACACTGAAAGGTTTTCTACGTAGCGTCTGGACCTGCGCAGCCCCTTGATTTTTAGCTCCCCATCCCTCTACATGCTTCTATAAGAATTAAAAGTGGCCTGTTCGGTAACCGAGTGCCAGGCTTCTATCGATAAAATTGAGAAATGGTGCCAACTGAATCTCATGTCCCTTAACTATTCTAAATGCGCTTGGATTTACTTCACAAATCGCAACCAATCTATAGCGGATTATCTGAGTTTTTCTATCAATAACACGATCATAAAACGGGAAAGATCAGTAGTACTTTTGGGAGTAAAATTAACGTCCCCAACCAATAAATTACTCCAAAACAGAAAGTATGTGGTCAGCGCGCGCAGTCGACAGTA